CTTTTTGACATCCACGTCGTCTCTCTTGTTTTAATCAGGGATTTGTTTTAAATGGAACACTAATAATTGGCATTTTAGGAGGACATTCTACTACTGACTTTGAGGTGTATTTTAATGTGATTGGCTTAAATAAACAGTTTTAAAATAATCTGTCTTTTCTGTGTTTTTATTAACAATATCAATCTGTATAAGAGCGGATGTTGTTCAGTCTGTATGGACTTTGAACCAGAGGGTCACCGGTTCGAGTCCCGGTGTGGACCATGTCTGGTAGCTGGAGACGTGCCAGTTCACTTCCTGAGCACTGCAGAGGTACAACGAACCCCGAACTACAGCCCTGTTCAGTCTGCCATGATATTTACGACCCGTGCCAGTTCTCCTTCAATCTGAAGGTGGAGGCGTAATGTGGGACGAAGTGACCCCCCCCCCCCCATCTGTACCGTCTTCAGATAGTAACAGAGGCGAGACGGGATCAGCTGAGCCAGCAGGGGAGAACAGCACTGTGTGTGTGGAGCTTCTGCTGTGCCGTGCTTCCACAACGCTGAAATGCGAGTGAACTCACGGACTGGATCCCTAACCACCTCCTGTTTCTGTGCTTAATTTCATGTCCTTATCTTCCATCTACCAGAAGGGCCTTACTTTATTTCAAAATTAAAGCACACAGCAAGTAAAGTACTCTCCGCTTAAGACAGGAAAAACCTTCAAAATAAAAGCCCGGTTGTATCCTGAGGAGAGTTAAAGTACCCCTAGGTCAGGGGTGTCCAAAGTGCGGCCCGAGGGCCATTTGCGGCCCTTGAGGGGATTTTTTGCGGCCCGTGACTTCAAATGAAGAATCAGAAGATTTTATTGATTAAGATTGGCACGTTACCTTATTTTTATTTTTCATGTTAACAAGGGCTGAACAATATTCCTAAAACAGAAAATGTTCAGTAACATGTATGTTGTTTTTTTGTTTTTTTTTTAAATCTACAGATTTTACTATTTTCCACATTTTTTTTGTGAACGATGAAAAAACAACGTATGCAAAGTTTTTGCAAACAAGCGGACTGTTGTTTAACCATTTAATGACCTGAGCTAAATGAACCACGTTACAGGCTCTGAGATAAAAACAAATAAAGTAGGACGAAGAAATCTAAATATTTGATTTCCTTTTATTAAAGGGTTTCTTTAGATTCTGATCTACAAAGTCTTACTATTTTTTCAACTATATTTAAAAAAAAAAAAAAAAACCTGTGGCCCGCGAGAGATTCTAACACGACAATTTTGGCCCGCAAGAAAAAAAGTTTGGACACCCTTGCCCTAGGTCCTCACACTCCCTGGCATAGTTGGAAGAGGTATCTTCAGCACGTTTCAGTTGCTCATGAACGGGTAAACAACGTGGACATGAAGTATAATATTGGATTGTAAGAGGGCCGTATCTGAACATGACTGAAAGTAAGGAACAATGTTGATAAAGTTTCCTCCATGTTCTCTGTGTTGGTTCACCGTGTGGCTATCGGGTCTATGGCAGCTATTTGAAACTACCTGAAATGTTAAGGTGGAATGTTGTCTTTCCTGTTACTCGGTGCATGAGTTGATGTCATGAATCAATCATACCACCTTGAATGTCAGAACCTTCCTGTTTGTTTTTAACGTCTGCTGAATGACACTGTAGCACTCCCGGATCACGCAAACTGCAAATAATGTCTTTCCTCACTTGGAAAGAAAAGCCCCGGAGAGCCGGAGCACAGCGGACATATGTCCAGAGGTGACCGTGCTCAGGCCTGGGTGGTCCTGGAGCAGTGTGTGTGCAGGCCAGCAGGGGATGGGGAGCCTCCATTTATTTACTGTAATCAGAGTTAAATCAAACTGACTTTGATGCGGCTTCATGAAGGTGACATGAGTGATGAAAGCGGTGGAACTGTTCGTTTAAATATCCAAATGACCTCCAGGATCAGACTGAAACGCAAAAATCAGCGGTGAGCCGAGTCAGCACTTCCTCCAAACTTTATTATTTAGACATAAATCACTTCAAAGTACAAAAAGTCAAAAATACATGACCCATAAAAGTTTCCATAAAATGTTATTTCATTGAACATCCTGCATAAAACACCGCCCACATCACATCCTCGTCTCAGCGTTTTAGTTCTTAGTAGATTAAACGTGTTTAAGCTCGTACACAAGAGGAGCAGAGTGGGGGGGAGACTGAAATCCTCTCAGCAGGTTTTTGGACCAATCAGGAGGCTCTCTTCACCCACTGGCTTCATCACTTGACTGCAGGTGATTTCACATCCTCGTAATTTTAATATTAGGATACTGAAGATCTGTAGAGTGGATTTATTAAGGGGGCGGTCGTCTCTCAACACAAAGGTTGGGGGTTCGATCCCCAGCTCCTGCAGCCACATGTCCTGTTTCTTATTGGGCAAGTCACCTAACAACAAGTTGCTCCTGATGTTTCGCCGGCAGCGTCTGAATGTGTATGAATGGATGAGTTAATACTGATGGACTCTTTACCCAGCAGCCTCTACCATCAGTGTGTATGAATGGATGAGTTAATACTGATGGACTCTTCACTCAGCAGCCTCTACCATCAGTGTGTATGAATGGATGAGTTAATACTGATGGACTCTTTACCCAGCAGCCTCTACCATCAGTGTGTGAATGTGTATGAATGGATGAGTTAATACTGATGGACTCTTTACCCAGCAGCCTCTACCATCAGTGTGTATGAATGGATGAGTTAATACTGATGGACTCTTTACCCAGCAGCCTCTACCATCAGTGTGTGAATGTGTATGAATGGATGAGTTAATACTGATGGACTCTTTACCCAGCAGCCTCTACCATCAGTGTGTATGAATGGATGAGTTAATACTGATGGACTCTTTACCCAGCAGCCTCTACCATCAGTGTGTATGAATGGATGAGTTAATACTGATGGACTCTTTACCCAGCAGCCTCTACCATCAGTGTGTGAATGTGTATGAATGGATGAGTTAATACTGATGGACTCTTTACCCAGCAGCCTCTACCATCAGTGTGTATGAATGGATGAGTTAATACTGATGGACTCTTCACTCAGCAGCCTCTACCATCAGTGTGTATGAATGGATGAGTTAATACTGATGGACTCTTTACCCAGCAGCCTCTACCATCAGTGTGTGAATGTGTATGAATGGATGAGTTAATACTGATGGACTCTTTACCAGCGGCCTCTACCATCAGTGTGTATGAATGGATGAGTTAATACTGATGGACTCTTTACCCAGCAGCCTCTACCATCAGTGTGTGAATGTGTATGAATGGATGAGTTAATACTGATGGACTCTTTACCCAGCAGCCTCTACCATCAGTGTGTATGAATGGATGAGTTAATACTGATGGACTCTTTACCCAGCGGCCTCTACCATCAGTGTGTATGAATGGATGAGTTAATACTGATGGACTCTTTACTCAGCGGCCTCTACCATCAGCGTGTGAATGTGTATGAATGGATGAATTAATACTGATGGACTCTTTACGCAGCGGCCTCTACCATCACTGTGTGAATATGTATGAATGGATGAGGTGAAACTGATGGAGTCTTTACGCAGCAGCCTCTACCATCAGTGTGTGAATGTGTATAAATGGATGAGTTAATACTGATGGAGTCTTTACACAGCAGCCTCTACCATCAGTGTGTGAATGTGTATGAATGGATGAATTGATACTGATGGACTCTTTACTCAGCGGCCTCTACCATCAGTGTGTGAATATGTATGAATGGATGAGGTGAAACTGATGGAGTCTTTACGCAGCAGCCTCTACCATCAGTGTGTGAATGTGTATGAATGGATGAGTTAATACTGATGGACTCTTTACCCAGCAGCCTCTACCATCAGTGTGTATGAATGGATGAGTTAATACTGATGGACTCTTTACCCAGCAGCCTCTACCATCAGTGTGTGAATGTGTATGAATGTATGAATTAATACTGATGGATTCTTTACTCAGCAGCCTCTACCATCAGTGTGTGAATGTGTATGAATGTATGAATTAATACTGATGGATTCTTTACTCAGCAGCCTCTACCATCAGTGTGTGAATGTGTATGAATGTATGAATTAATACTGATGGATTCTTTACTCAGCAGCCTCTACCATCAGCGTGTGAATGTGTAGGTGTGACCTTTACAGAAACTATACGAGATCAGGGTCATTTACCGTTTCAGATGTTGTCATAAGCTGTTTTCACACATGCACTCATTTATTTTTCTCCTGATCTGGTTGTTCACACATGCACCTCACAGCAGCATGGGGAAACAAAATCACTGATTGGGAGAGTGGGAGCGATCAGTGCCGTAGTGCACACTGCTAACAGACCGCGGTGCACACAGACTGTGGAAATTACTGGTAGCTTTCAAAGAAGTTAAAGAGGTTTTTAAAGGGGTCATATTATGCTTTTTCTGGTTTTATATGCTCTTTAGTGTGTTTTCCAAGTGTCCTGTGCATGTTTAGGCACATCTATGTGCAAAAATTCAAAGTCTGCGGAAACGCGGCTTCTCCTACGTCCTCCTGTTAGCTGCAGCATTAGCTGCATGTAACACTCTGTTCTAGCCCCCCTCGAAAATTTGTCAGTGTGATATCACTGATCTAAGCCCATTGGCTCGTTGTGGCAAGTCCAGCAGCTCATGTTGCACGCCCATTAACTTCTGTAGCTCGCCCACGATATGCCGTAGCCTGCGGTAGCACAGTAGTGCTAAGGTGCTAATGTTTTTGCTCCCCTCGGAGCCAAAGTGGCTGCATTCCCAATATGGTAAAAAGGGCGGGACATTTTCGAGAACCGTGCTGAGCGACTGACCAATCACGGCAGAGCCGGCAGGCTGACCAATCAGATCAGACTTGGCACACGTGGGGACTCTGAACGTGGGCACTTCAGAGCCTCAGAGAGAGAGTCAGAAGCGAGCCGGTGCATGGAGCGGCAGTTCATGAAAACAGACACTTTTTTATAACTTTAGCTATTGTGAACATACTTCAGTTGGTACATAGATTAAATATGCGAACCCCAAAAAGGGTATAATATGACCTCTTTAAAATGTAGATATCGTGGATGCTAGGCGTTAAACGAGTTATGAGTATTGAAAAGTCGTGTGCACGTCTCCAGCAGGTGTGCACGACTGGAATATCGACAAAGTTCATCCTTCTTGTTTCCGACCGTGTTCTTGTGACCGTGGTGATCTCTAAACTTTAAACTAAGTTGACCCCAAAGAGGATCTATAGAGTGTGGATTTATATTAAATACAGAAAGCTCTGTCTCTATGCAGCTTTGTGTCTTTAGACCGCTCAGTTAGAGAAATGTTGTTTAGTGAATTCAAAAGTTAACCAAAACTAGGAACAAAGACTATAAAAATATGTTTCACGTTGTTTGAAATGGACCTAAACTTTTAAAAAAGGTGCAGGAGTGACAGAAAACTCTGATCTCATGGTGTAAACACAGGAGGACAAGTCATGGGCTCAGACTGTGTTCTCACACTCTCACAGTATCATGTTTGGGTCCTTGAATCCGTCCTTGAGTCTGTCCTGGAGGTGTTTGAAGTTGCCCCACAGATGATGGGACTCTCTGAGACATCCTGTGAGACCCCCTCCTGCAGGCGTCACCTCCATTAGAGACAGAAAATAAGCTCTGTGTCAGTTTGATGTTTGACTCCTCCTGTTCCTGTCAGCCCTCCTGCTCCGCGCTCCTCCTCTCTGTCTCTGAGCTCATGTCTCCAGGTTCCTGCCCCTCCTGCTCCCCCTCCAACTCTCTTAGGGGGGCCGCCGGGTCTCTGACCACCCCCTCCATCTCCATCTCCCCCTCCAGCTCCTCCTGCGTCTCCTCCTCCACCCGGCCCACAGAATCGGGGATGATCTCCACCTCGATGTCAGAGGAGCCCTCGCTCTCCTTGAACCAGACAGTCTTCTGCCCCTCCTTCCTCCTCTGCTTAATAAGGCTGGCCCTCGCTGCATAGTCGTCCCCGTCACCCCTCCCCCTCCTTGATGCCCTCGCTGACGGGCTCCCGGCACCGACGTGGTTGTCGTAGACACCGCAGGAGGAGCAGTGTCGGCTCCGTCTCTCAAGGGGGATAACCCGGCCTCGTGGCTGAGGGAAGGTGCTCCGCCGAGGAACTACGTTGTTACAGTGCCGGGCCCCGCCGCGGCTCTGGTCTCCCTCAGAGGTGAAGCCATCGTTGGTGAACTGAAGAGAGTCCCTGTGACCAGAGCGGGCATGCTCGCCCTTCAGACAGGGGCCAAAACACTGAGAGAGAGAGAGGAGAGAAAGCAATTACTTCTAAAGTTGAACAATTTATCCAAGTCCTAAATGCTGCAGTTCCTCCAGTGTCCACTAGAGTCTGTCTCCTGCAGTGAGTCAGTCCCCATAGAGCCCCATGTTAAAATGTCCAACTTTACAGCTGCAGTTCCTCCAGTGTCCACTAGAGTCTGTCTAAATTTACATAATTAGGGGTGTGGCTGACGGCTAATCATGTCAGTAATCAAAGAGTCAAAATAAAAATAGAACATACCTCACATATTTTGTCCATGCCGGCGTTTCCTTTCCATAAGCGGGAAATCAGGAAGCCAATGACGATGAGACAAAGCACCAACAGAGCCGCCATGACCAGCCCCAGCAGCACCATGTCCCCCGGACGGTACCCGATGGTAGAGTCAGACGGGGTGGCTACGGCTGGACGCAAGTGAGTCAAGAGTTGTATCATTATGTCTTTATTAGAATTACCCAGACAGATGTGAACAGTGTAAACAGCTGTGATCTATGTTACGGCTCACTCGAGTGTTCTCACCTGGTATCACCTGAACAGAGAGAGCAGCTGTCCCAAACTCTCCCGTTGTCGTGTCCACGGCTCGGAGCTGCGTTCAGGAAAATAAACGTTTTAACGTGTCACTACATGTCAGCCAACATATTTTCTGGTGATTGATTTGAATTGTTCAGTCACCTGGAGAGCGAAGGACTCGGTCTTCACGACTCTCTTCAGGATCACAAAACCGTCGTAGGTGACGTTGACGTAGCTGCTGTACTGAACCTCGTACTTCATGTCGGGATTCAAACCCTGAAACACACAGAAACAGAACAATGTTCACAAATACAGGGGAGTGACCTGTTGTGTTTAGAGACTTGTTATTAGCCAATCATGTGCTTGTTGTTGTGACCAACAGGTTAGCAAAATGGAGCAGAGAACAAAAAGAGAAAGAGAAATATCTTTGAAGTGGTGTTGAGTTCATGAACAGCTGACGTCCTTCAGCTCGGACAGATTCCTCAGGATCTCTGTTTCCTTTCCTCCTGAAGCCCTCCTGCTGGTTGGTTCTGGGGCCATGTTGGGGTCTGATGAATGCTTGTTTTGCTCTCTTTGAGCTCTGTTTTTGGTCTCCACCACCATATTATATATAAATTGAATGACTTCCTAAAGAGAGTGAAGTCAAACTCCCTCTGGGTTTGTTGTTCTCTACTCTGTGTTCACAAAGACAGGACGGAGATTTCTTCAGTTTGTTTATATTCCCCTCAGAGGCTCAGACATGTTTCAGACGTGAAATTCAACCGGGCATCAAAATTAGTCACATGACTCAAAGCTCAGGTATAATGGTGCGTTCAATTCACATCGGAACTCAGAGCTGCGAGCTGGGAATGACGTCACACCCGAGTAAACGTCCCAACAAGTGGGATAAGCACTATGGGCCCCTCTAGGAGAACCTTTGTTTTGTAAGCTAATTACTACTTGATGGTTTGTGCGTGAAAATAACACGACAACATGTCAAACAGAACTTTTATGATACTATCGGAGTGACTGATTTTATTACACTAAGAGAGGACTAAGCTGTTAATAAATATAAACCACATGCAAAGAGCAGCCATGTTGGATTTTAACTCAGTCTACAGAAGGGTCTCTGAGTTTCCAAGTCAGAATTCCAACTTAAGGGGGCGTTACTGACGACGTATCAGACCAGCAACTCAGAATTATCGACTTCTGAGATCAAATGGAAAGCACCACCAGGCTTAAAAGTACAGAGTGTACGTCCAGCTTAAAGTTAAGTATATGTTTGTGGGCGGCAGTAGCTCGGTCCATAGGAGCTTGGGTTGGGAACCAGAGGGTTGCCGGTTCATATCCCATTGCGGACTATATTATGGAAAATAGTATTTAAAGAAGTGCCAGGAGATTTTCTAAGTACTGCCAAGAGATGCCCTCGAGCAAGACAATTCCAGCGCAGTCTATGCATGTCTCTAAATAACAGAGTGTAAACCAGAACACCCCTCAGTGTATGAAAAGTGTAAGAATTCAATAGCTGATCATTTTACAGGGATGTTATAAAATCTATTAGTCAGTCCAGTCAGTAAACAGGTAGACATGCAGAACACCTGGTCATTAAAGGCTTTTTATGCGATTTTTTGATCCAGCAGATGTCGCCCTTGAGCACCAGCATGAAACCAAAACAACTCGCGCTGCATTGTTGTGTTAGCATGCTAATGCTAGCGATCTTTATTATGCTGGTATCTTCACACTGCATGTAAATTTACCTGAAATGAGCGTGATCTAGAAACACAGTTAAGCAGTGAGTACAGTATGTTATTCTTCTTTTCTCTAGTCCCTCAATTAAACAACTTTTGTGAGGGGAGGAGTAAGCCGCTGTCCCGTCAATGTAAACAAACTGAAGATAGGACTCTGAAAACTCTGAAAACATCACAGACAGTGGGACTCGGGTGTTACACCCATTGTAGACAGTCATGACTCACAGAGTTATTTTCAGAGGATATTCTTGATTTATATTATATTTATGTGTGAAAAATCACATCTAAAGCCTTTAAAGGTTTCTGCAGTGAGAGAAGCATGTCATGAATATTTAAACAAAGCTGATGGTCAGTAAAGGTTTCACATTAATATTCTCACCGCAGCGAAGTCCTCATCCCGCGCTCGGACTCTGAAGGGTCTGTTGGTGCTCCGGTCTCGGAGGATCATGCTCTCAGGGACCGAGTTGCTGTAGATAAACCCTTCGTATCGCTCCTTCTCGAAGCGAGGAGGGTTCCTGCTCTTCTTCATCACCTCGATGGTCACCTGCGTCACCGCAAACTGATCCCTGTTTGTCACCTGAGACGCCTGACAGACCGAGAACAACGTTAAAACCAACACACCATAATTCACCTCAGGTCAAAGTGTTAAGATCCGGAGACACTCTTAGATACTCCGGGGATTTAAAACGATACATTCTGTCTTATTCTAATGATCCATGGTATCCAAAAGTTGGATTTCAACCAAAAGCTGCCACATCTCAAACTCACAGGTCGGCGGATACCAACTTTTCAGTCCGTTAGTTGTTATTGTTACATTTATGTGTTGTGTGTAAAGGGAAAATGTTGGGCAAACTATTTAGACGACTTTCTAAATATTATCCTGTCCATGCTCGCAATGAGATCATCAACTCTTGCCTGAACATTTCACACAAGCTTGCCAAAATTTCTGATTTTTTATGGGGCGCCATTGTCCTAGTGGTTAGTGCCTAGTGGGTTTGAATCCATCCTGTGGCTTCTTTTCCGCTGTCATTAACACTGACTGTAAATATGAACATTTGAAGTCTGAGTGACTCACCCGTCTGTTCCTGCAGGGGCGTTGGAGTCCATCGATGGCGGTCTCCATGCTGGAAACGCTGTCTCAGTCTAACTTTCAGTCAACCTAACGACAGGCTGAGAGCTGGAGCTGAGGCGGGTTTTAAGACTCCTGACAAAATTACACCGCGCCACCTGTCAATCAGGTCAGCTACATGCCTTTGAATAACTTTTATCCTTCATCAAATCAAAACTGATGAGTCATCAAACATTCACCCTCCGTACAGTGTGTGTCCATCGAGACATGAGCTAATCAGACCTATTTCTTTTTTTTAACCAGGCTGTAGACATGGTAATCTCTGCTGTAAAAAAGGCTTTTTAGAATGGGTGTGTATGTGACATCCTGTGCTTCTGCAGCCAGCCTCTAGTGGACACTTGATGTACTGACGGATTTTGCACTTTAGCATCGGCTTCATTTTTAACACCGAGGTTGCTGCTTGGTCTCTCGCTCTCTCCTTGTTTTTCTGGCTCTATCCACTTTCCTGTCTGAATTAAAGGCAAAGACGCCAAAAAATGAGAACACAGAGGACGGCCGAGCACGCACTCTGTGAAATGTTACGTGAACGGAACAATCGATGAGGAAGCAAGCTGACTGAAGCAGGAAGCCCAACAAACATAACCATGGCGATGACAGCAAACGTGAAGCATAAAGTTAGATGAATGACATATGTTCAGGACCAATTATTGACGTCTTTACCAGAACAGTGAGAGTGATCGGTCCAACGATATCAGCAGCCTTCGTCATTGTGATGTTTCCCGTCTCCTCGTCGATCTGGAAGATATTTCCTTCATTTCCTGATGAAGAACAAAAACAACATAAACTGAGGTCAACGTCACATCACTGTGAGTTAAGCTCCTCCCCCCCTCTCTCTCAGGCTGGGTGATGGGGTTTCTGTATCTCTGTAGATGAACGGACATTAAGCTCACTCCGGGTCTGACGACAGTCTCAGCTCTGCTGATGGGGTTGGCTGTGACTAGCATCCAAGGTCACGCTGTGTCTCCCGCCATATCTGACTTGTTTGGCAGAATCTGTGTCTGCTCTCCGTTATCTTAAACATCACATTGTCATTGTGTCAACTCACGAGGTAGAGTGTTTAGGGTAACATGCCCCTGACTTTAGCGTCATCTTAAGGATGAATACTGAGTCCATGGGACGGTCTAACCGAACTGGCTTGGCAGGTCACTGTATCACATGTGCAGCACATGAAGTGCAGGGTCTCTGCTGCATGCCGTCCCCCAACTCTCTCTCTCCTCCCAACGTCTCCTGTCCACCTTCAGCTGTCCTCTCTAATGAAGTCAATCAAGTCAGTCGGCTGGAGTCCACCGACAGGTAGAGAGCCACGGTTCACAGGATGTCAATGACCCTGGGACTCTGTAGTTCGCTTTCCGGCCTCCCTAAGGTGTGGTGGGACTAATTGGACGATGTGCTGGCTCTTGTTGCCCTTCGGTCCACACTGTTGAGTTGTGCGGGCCAAGAGGGGCCATACCTGGAGCTCTTATGTACGGAGCCTGGGTCTGTTGAAGGTGGTGACTAATGGCCATAGGGTAGGCGATGTAACTCATCAGTAGGATATAAGGGCATGACTGGAGCAAGCGTATCTTCACTGAACACTTGTCCTTTCATTAGGGCACAGGGACAGTACCTTTCGTTTATTTCAAACTAAATGATAAAAGTTTGAAAGATAAAGGAACAGTGAGCTAAAGTCACTAAAAAACAAATGGACACATAATACATGAAGCTTTGACAGTCTAACCTCTGAGGATTCTGTAGCTGATCTGCTCGCTCCGGTTCTTGTCTCCGTCTCTGGCAAACACCGGCCGGGCTCCAGAACCAGCGGCCCTCCTGACGGTTCAAACCAGAGAATGTGAAAACCTTCCGACCAACGAGCCTGGTCTTATTTCTTATGTCAGTGTCAGTTAGGCTAAAGACGGATAAAAAGAGACGTCTGATCATTTTCTCACCTCCTTTCTCGGTGAGGTTGACTCGCCCCTTGTAGCCCGTGCTCACACACAGTTTGGCGATTCCCAAGGTTGTCCTCAAACATGGCTGAAACCATGGCGGCCGTTATCCACATCCTTCACAAGCACGGTGATGGAGGCCACCGACGTGAAAAAGGCTGGTCCGAGGCTGAACCGTTAAATGTGTCCTGAATACAAGAGACACATTCACACAGGTCAAAGGGAAGCAGCCGCAACGGTGATTTTATTATAAATGATTAACGCTTCCGTACTTGAACATGTAAAACCAGAGAGATCTTCTGCACGACATCGTAATCCAGGATGCTTTTAACCAGAATCTTTGGAGAGTTGATGTTTTCAAGGCGGAAATATTTATCCTGACAGATGAAGAGAAAAATTCATACAGATTAAATTAAAGTAAGAAGGCTGAGACCATTCCAGAGTTTTAAAGGAGCAGTATGTGACCTGACCCCTAGTGTTTAAAATGGGTACTGCAGTTTAAATTCTAAACATTGTAGAGCGCTGTCTCTCCCCCTATTTACTCACTACATATATCACTGGTTGGACCTTTATTTCATTGATATGAATTTAGTAAATATCAAACACTATTGATACCATGGCAACAAAAACTTAATTCCTAGACACTATACTTGGTAAGGTTCTTGTTTTTAATCACCAAAAGTTCAGACAAACTCCTGCAAACTGTTTAAATATATATATAATAGAACAAATATGTCGGCAGTGTACATGCATTTTGTTTGTAGTTTCCACAAATGCTGTACAAAGAATAAAGAAGATTGAGTCTACTTTCTACAGTGGCCCTGAAAGTCAACTACAAAAAAGGACAACACTGCTTGTTTCTGATCGGACAAAGCCAAAGTCCTAATTCGTCTATGACCAATATCAGTCAAAGCTCAGTAAAATGTTTTTTTTAATTGACCTTCAGGGCCACTGTAGTTTTTAGTTTCGGTACCAAAACACTGCCAATGTATCTGTGCAATTTAGAGAACTCTCTCTCTTTCTCTTCGTGCAGGTTTTGGTTTAAAAGTGGAGCAGGCAAGAGACAGAGAGGATGGACTTTTCTCATAGTGGGGGGTTTGTAGACAGACACATATTAGTGTCAGAGACTCATGGTGAAGTAGATTTTACATCATGTGTGACCTTTAATACTCAGTATTTTCTTGTTCTTACTGTAGCAGACTCTAAGCGATAAAAGAGCGGATCTGAATCAACGTCTGAGGCTTGGATCCGTCGACGCTGGAGTTCACCGCAGTCAGCTGAAGAGGAGAAATCAGAGTCAGCCTCACGTTCAAGCTCAAACAGGAACATGTGACGCTGATGAACAGTCCTCACCTCGTTCCTCGGAAAAGTGATTCTGTGCAAGTTCGGAGGATTATCATTCACGTTTTCAACCAGGACTTCCACAGACTCGTTCACCTGCAGGTCGAGCAAGAGACGATGAGAGAGCTTCAAACAGGTGCTTCAGTGCACAAAATGCTTTTTCAATGAATGT